ATTGCTACTCTCCATGGTATCTAGCTCAGGGAGTTACAGAGACAGCCTTACCCTCTGCCCACTCCCATCTTTTCAAAGTTAAAGCACTGTTGATTAGAACTATGATACCTGGTAAACATATTCCTATCGGCCTTTGATAGTTAGGTGTGCTTCATCTCTGGCCAGGAATCTGTCATCCCTCCCTATATTTTAAGCTCTGGTCCAAAAGCCAAAATTCTATCCTTAGGCACCACCTTCTTGACCAACTGTGCACTCCCCAAACTAATCTCAGACCATCTATATTCAGGCCATGTTGACCTACCAGACCTTTCCTGGACACAACATTCTCTCCTCCATCTTCTTGCCTTGGGGCTAATGGTTCAAAGGCAGTCCTTGCTCCCCCAAGTCTCAAACGGAAAAAAAAATTTTTTTTGAAGTCTGAATTGGCAACCAACCTAAGTGTATTACATGTGCCACAACGAGCCAATCTTGTACTTTTGTCTCATTCTGCTTTCAAACAGTTTTTATACTTGCTTACGTGTTTTTGTTTTCATATATATTTAAAAAGATCAGGGAAATGATTACTTCTAATTATTATTAGGATTTCATGTTTTCAAATGAATAACATACATATAAAGTATTAGTCTCTACCTATCAGGACAAAGAAACAGGATGGCACTGGTACTAAAGACAAGTAGCTGAAAACAATTTTCCTTTCATACTTTCTTGCACAAATTGAGGAGAATGATAAAAACCTACATGCTTCCACCTTTTACTCCGAGGTACCTGTAATATCACTCTGTAGACAGCCTAAGGCATTACCTCAATATTAAGTTACTTTCTTCTCATCCTTTTCTTTAAAAACAAAATTCTCAGATTAGAGGTGGTCAGCACCTTTATAGTTACTTAGAGGAATGCGTCACACAGATTCTGAATGGAGTCGTTACTTGGTGAAAAAAAAATGGACCAAAAGTTTGAGTTGTTAGCCTAGTCATTTTCCTGGGTCAGTTTCACCAAAAATTAGCCACTTTCCTAAGGTGTCATTCAAAACCCAGTTCAAAGTCCAAATCCACCATAAAGCCGTCCTACTAAAAATCTTACCTCATGAAGGGGATCTCCACTAAAATTTTTCAAAGCATGCTGCCTGCATCCTCCTATTCATTCTCCCCTAAATTATTTGTGTATCTGTCCTTTCCCCCCGGGAGGATGAGATCCTTGTGATCAAAACCTGTGTTGGCTCTATCTATCTCCATTACCTAAATGTGCCTTTCTTGTTGTAGACATTTAACACATAGCCAATGAATTAGGTATAATACATGGAACTTATCATCTTCATCCCCAATAGGTCTTCTCCATGTGCCTGCACATATTAGCTAGTTATCTTTCTACTTTCAAATCATCCACTTCCTATTCCCTCCTTTCTCCAAACACAATTTCAACCTTCTGGTCACTTAGGAGAGCCTGGGCATCCTACACACTCTTTACAACAGGGATTTATATATTCTTTGTTTTTGTGTTTGTTTCTTGCTAGGCAATGGGGTTAAGTGACTTTCCCAGGGTCACACAGCTAGTGAGTGTTATGTGTCTGAGGCTGGATTTGAACTCAGGTCCTCCAGGGCTGGTGCTCTATCCACTGTGCCACCTAGCTGCCCCCAATTTATATTTTTTATATGTCATAAACCCCTTTGGCAATTTGGTGAAGTATGGTCCCCTTTAAAGAATAAAGTTCCTAAATGAGTAAGATGAAAAACAAAAGATTAGCAAAGAAACCAAAAGCTAGTGAAAATAAAGATATTTCCCCCCATCCAAATTCACAGATGCATGCCCCACTTGCAATCTAACCAAAGAACCTCTGCTTTAAAAGTAATTGGGTTGGTTTGAGGGCTACTTTTTATTTGCTGGGTTCAGGTACTCGGGGGGGGGGGGAGGCACTAATAGTAAATTTCCCAAGTTTTCATGCTGTTTAGTTTTTTATTTACACGCACACACACAATATATCTATATGTACATGCACAGATATACATGTGTATATAAATAATATACACATGTATACACACAGATATACACACATATATATATTATGTATGTATGTATAGCTTTGCTAAAAAAAGTGACATATAAATGTTATCTATTAATATCATTGGTTTGTTCTGCTGGGAATGTTTCTATACTTATAGTGCTATTTTCCACTTCATAGCAAATCATCTTCTAAGAGCCCTGGATCTAGGTTCTGTGCCAGGAGATATGGCTTCTCATCCCTGCTTTACCAGGAACTGTCTGTATGGCCACGGTCAAGTTCCTTCACCAATCTGAGCTTCAGTTTTCTCCTACGTAAAATGAAGAGATGGGATTAAATTACCTTTAAGGTTCCTTTCCAGCACTAAAGAATGAGGCTCTGAACAGATCACCTCCCATTTCTGATTACATGTATTCAGACTTAACTATTTCTCAGACCATTCCTAGGTAAGCCTAGTCACCACCTAGTAAAATAAGAGAATTGAATGATTCAATAATATAGTTCGAATATTCTATGACCCTCTGACCTGACCTAAGATGGGAGAGTATGCCATTTTTGTTATTTTCCTTGACACGTTTTAAATCTCAACTTATACCCCTTGGCTTGGTTTTGCTGATTCTCAAAATGTCTCTGCCTTCTGGTCACCCATTTTCAGTCACTTTCACTCCTTCCCTCCTCCCACTAAACATTACTCCATTTATAATGGCTTACTAGGCCCTAAGCCTTACTACCCACCACTCTTCTGTATCCTAATTTTTCCCTATTAGCCTCTCTTGTCTTCAAGGATTCCTTGTATAGTCCTTCCAGCAACATTTTGCTCTAGTTCAGACGGAAAGCGTTGTCTCTAAGGTAATTTTAGTTAAAATTATTTGACACCTTTAATAGACTCCCTACTAGCCTAATGAACCAGTTTGCATCTTCCAACTCACATCCTATTTATTCTAAGAAAGTTACCAATGTGATCTATATGTGATTTAATGTAGAAAATTAATTTCCGGTGAAAGTCAAATGTAGTGCTTTTATATTTGTGTGCAACAGCCCCTCTTCCACTCAGGATACCTGATGTAAAGGAAACAAACTCAGTTCCACAATAAAATACAAAAGTGGTAAAAAAAAAAAAAAAAAAAAAAAGATGAGAATAAAAAGATTCCTGGTCGATTAGAATTCTTTGTCTCGAAAACTACATTGGTTCTCTTCTTATTCCTCAAAGATCCTCGCTTGTTCTAAATCCATGACCCCATGAATCCCTGCCCATCTCTTCAGCCTATTTTATCAGTTTGTTTTTAAAAGTATTTTGATAATTATATTTTGGTATAGTTGGCTTCCTACAAAGGATATTATTTTATGCATTTAAAAAACATTATTCTGAAAGGGGTGCATAATTTTAACCCGACTACCAGAGGGGGTCCATGACACAAAAACATTTAAGAACACTGTGAGTAGATGAGAGCCAAGATCTCCGTACCTGGCATGAATTAGGATTACATTAATGCTTCTTATGAGAAACTCACATCCATCAAGATGGTTTCGGGCTGAGCTGCAGACTTAGGATCAAGTACAAAAGGTTGGTTCTTTGGTAACTTCCAGGCCCTCTATCGTCCTTTTTTTTTTAAAGCTATTCTTTAGTTGTTACCCCCTCTAGTAATATCATAAACTTGGTGATGCATAATTTTTAAACAAGAACAGATATAACTTTTATTGATAATAAATGTTTCAAAAACAAGGTAAAATAAATACTTTTTAGCCCAAAATACTAGGAAGTGGTCCCACTTACTGGATACAATTTTGAAAGTTTTTTCCTAAAATCCTGTCTTCTATTTTGCCTCCAAGAAAATCCTGAGTATATAAAGGCAGCCATGTATGTGTCCTCTCTGAATCCCTTCCTAGTATTTAGACCTGGAAGCTTTTCTAAGTTTTTGCTTTCTGTACAAAGGAAAAGTAGCAAAAGCTGTACTCCACATAACCTCTGTGAAAACATGTGAAATGGGGCATAAAACTCTAATGAACAGCAGTCTGGAAGTCCATTTGATGGCACAACTTCTTTGCTAGCCAGTGCAGGGGCTGGCTCAGCAGGGTGGGGAACTATCTCCTAATCCTTACTGAGTCTGAAAGACTGAACTTTAAAGTTGCTGACTGGCCATAACCCAGGTAATTAAAAGCAAGTTTGGGGACTTTGGTGAAGCATGGCATAAAAGAGAAAGGGGATTAAAAAAGACCCCTGTGTACAATCCTACCCAAATCACCAGCAGGACTCTGCCTTAATGATTGGTGCAGAAAGAAAGGTTTGGCTTTGATTTCTGGAAAGGAAACACTGGGGCGGTTAGTTTCTACCATTCCATTTGAGGTAGGTACTGATTTGGGTACACAATGGAAAAAACTGCCACAGAAACATGATGTCAGATAAAAGTTATCTTTGCCTTATATACAGCATAACCCCTTCCTCATTTCACATCAGAGAGTCAAACACAAAACACACAATAATGAAGGGGAAAAAAATTTATTCTATCGTCATCTTAGAAAAGTAGATTTGTTTTATTTAAAAAAATACAATAACATAAAACCTAATTTACACATTTTCCCCACCATTGTGGCACATAAGATAACTAAAGACATTTGCACATGGTAAACACATAATTATTTGCAAAGCTCAACAGGGCAAATCTTTGGAGGAAAATTCTTCTTTGAGTATTACGGATCAGCAAATTAGTTGAGACCTGATGCTTTGCCCACAAAGGGCTTCTAAAGCAAAAAAGTATTTCCCAGGACTTCATGTAAGTGGGTAATAGGATTGAAAGTAAAGGGTCTCTGGCAAATCCTAGTCTCCTAAAACAAATATTTGGTTTTCTCCCTTTGAGGTGCAGCTTTCCACTTCTGCTCTGAGGCTTAGGAGAAAGCCAGATTCTGGTGTAGTCATCACAAGCTGGGGATTCCTGATAACTCGTAGCATATTCAAAGCACCATGAGTCTACCCAACAGTCCCAGGTCAAGTGCTGTTGCCTTGTTAGTAAGAGAGGAAAAGTGCTTTTTTTTTTGTATTAAGGTTTAAAATCATGTCTTTATCTCTTCCCACAAAAACAGAGAAGTAAATTCACATGTGCTGTTACCCGATAGGGATCCTTTTCAGATGAGAAGAAACTGTTTCCGTTTCAATACAAGTTATCTTAAATAATCCATTATGTTTTTGTTTTTGTTTTTGTTTTCATTTGAAAGGTCTCTAAGAACATCAATAATCTACTAAAACTCAGGCAGTAATGTTTGTAATTAAACATCTTAGAATGAGATGTTTTAGTGTTTCGTAAATTATATTTTACCTGGAGAATACTTTAAACTTGTTCAGTGTATCTGCATAACCCTTTTGAAAAATACCTGGAAAAATTCAGAACAAAATTCCAAATGTGGATATCTACAAAAAAAAATTCGGGAACAAGTGGCTGAAATGGCATGGAGGAAGAATACCAAATACATCTGGCCACTGGCTTACCGCACTAGATAGAAACCATGTGGTTTCTGGAAGTTTTGAACTCTATCTATTCAGTCCCATATGCTGAAGGAACCAGTACTTTTCAGCAGGTTTTACCAGATGCTTGAATATCTGCATAGAGATTGTCATGGCAGATCAGAATCACACGCAAAACTCTGGAGTGGGCATGTTGTATGGAATAAGCTGGAGCTCTCACATTGAGGTCCTGTGTGTGCACATACATGTAAGCTTGTGTGTGGAGTTTCTTTTCCTATATGTTCACTTGAAAGAAGCCTATGGGAGAGATAAGCAAAAAGAAATAAATGTTTCTTGTCAGCTGATTATTTAGTAGTCATATAATCCTTCCTTTGATGTCCAGGGTCAATGAAATCCTAGTACCACCAGGGTTTAGGAGTAGATATATTAAAAGAATCTCTGTGATCTCTCCTGCAAAGGAAACGGCAATAAAATTTATTACTCAGTCCCAACGAAGGAATTCTCGTAAAGGGTCTCAGTAAAGAGGTGTCTTTGTATTCCTCGCTACTCGGCTTTGGGGAAAAAAAGATTCATTGGGGGGCACAGGAAGAGAATGGTGTCTAGAGCCCATACCTCTAAATCTGGGATTTGCAATCCTACTGCTTTGCATTCAAACTACATGGTATGACCTTGACCATCACATGGACTGCTATAGGATGAAAAAAAATTACAGCCAAGGTTTCTTTTGGTACAAATGCAATAGAACACCACCTGTATATGTCTTCATGGTTTTCAGAGGATGTAAGCAACAGGAGACAAAGAAATCCAGTCTATATAGCGCTAGAAAAATCACCTTAAGTTAACCAAATTCAAGTTTTAGGGGCTTATGTACACTCTTTTCAAATCTGTACATCTTTGTGATTCTGCAAACAATATACACAAAAGTATCTCATAGAAGCATTCAGGTTTTTTTCCCCCTTATTCTTTGAACCACTAGCACTTTCCATCAAGTTGCTGCAGTAGGTGCTTGGGGCCGTCTTCACCCCGGCAGGTGTGCTTCTGGTCAGCATCTGGGCCCTTTACAAAAGGGGTGTTGTCTTTTTTGCTCTCGGGCTCGACTCCTGTTCCTGCTGAACTGAGCCAGTGTGTAAAATCAGAACTGTTATCAGCTCAGTAGGCACCGGAGGGCGGGTCCAATCAACAGCTCAGAACAGCAGCCCCTGCTACCTGCTACCTGGAAGCTCCGCTGGGAACCAGCCAATCACTGGAGGAGACCAGAAAGAGTTGAGGCTACAAACACAAAGGACATTTTGCCAAACCATCAAATTGGAAGATAAGCAATCCTCTGAGAAGCGTAAACATACCCATACACACCATTACACAGCTTTCACTGACCTCCATGACTTTATCTGTGGTCTAAAGTTTTCATAAGAATAGTTCTTGTCATACCCAAGTAGGTTTTACCTTCCAGACAAGGCAAATCAGTACAGGTTTAGGTTTCTACGATGGAGACAAGACTAAGTACTTGCAGGTGATCCTTGTATTCTTGACAGGATAAAGGACATTCTTCAGTCTGTTTCCAGTCTCTTTTTGCATGCACATGCATCTCTCAGAAAATGGCCACTTAATAAGTGGTGCAACTCAGCCAGCAATCTCAGTGCCCAATCAGGTTCACACTTAACGTTCCCATCTCACCTTCTCTTCAGGTGCAGAACTTAGCCACTGTGAACAAAGAGGAAATCAATTACTGTTCACCAATCAGCTAAGCTCTGCACCTTGTTAGAGAGGTCATCCTCTGAGCATTATTAAAGGGCTGGAAAGCATCTTCGACGGTTGCTTCTTTCTTTTGTTTCCAAGTAAGCTCTACCGCATGGGTATTTTTCCGCACACCTATGGACATTATCTATGGCTTCTGGAAGAGCAGCCAAGGTCATGGTTGCGTGGTAATCCCTGGCAATGTGATTTTAATCTTAAGTCACAAATCAGCATGCCAGGAACCCAAGCAGCCAGAGCACTCAAGAAAACCGTGGTGTCCTCATGAGTTCGTACTTTCACAACAAAGCGTTCACACTATGTCTGTCTCCATCTTACATTCTTGTCAATTTACCAAACAGGTGAGTGCTTTGGGTTGGGTGTTTTCGTTTGTTTGGTTGGTGGTTAGTCCATGTTCTATGAAGATCTTGCATTGAATTAAAAAAAAGTCAGAGTTATAAATACATCAGTATGACTGTGCAACACAAAAAAGAGGGCACTGACAGGGTTCTCAAAACCAGATAAATTTACAGGCTTTAGCACTTGAAGCACGGTTACTTTCTCAGACAAACATTTCCAAGGAGGCTGAGTAGTCAGTCCATGTGGCACTCTTCTAGGTTGGGAAGAAAAGTTTTATTATTGGAAGCTGAGACAGGTCAACCTGAGAGAAGGAACCCACTTCCCCTGAATCCATCCTCCACCACGTCCCTAATATTATCAGCAATCAACCCCCAATATGACTTCTCATTAAGAAAAAAATGGGCACACAAGGCCCCAGAATTCCCTCTGTGTCAGGCTGTAGTTAAGAGGCAGGGAAAGCAGGAGAGTGGGAATAAAACAAAGATTCTGAAGGCGTGAAGAGCAGATCTGCAAACAGGAATGCTTTCCCTTAAAACCAAACTCCTTAACAATCTAAGGATTCAGTAAGATTTTTGTCCACAAAAGCCTGGTCAAGAAACAGAGCAATGGAATGGGCTCCATGTTACTGTTTTGGTGTAGCTCAAAGAACTTGAAGAAATTTTAATTCTCTGCAGTTAAAAAGGGGCAATCTGATTTATATTAATGGCTAAAGGAAAAACAAAGGGCTTGTGCGGTTGAGACTGTCTCAATTGCTCCTTATTAAAGCACACATTTTGAAAGGCTCACTGAGCTGCTAAGTAAACTTCTTTTTTAGATTCTGAGTTACTATCCCTACTACCCCAAGCACAAAAATCAACATCAAAGAGCCCTTGTCTCCGTGCTAAAAGGATAGTCATTCATAATTAACTTATATTCTTGGTATCCTACCTCTCTGACATAAATAGGCTGTTTTAAAACAATCTCCAGAAAGTCCAACAACCTGAGCATGCCTAAAAGAGGAAGCAGCTTGAAAGGTTGAGGGTGCTTTTCTTAAAAACAAGCCATAATAGACACCTGCTAAACTCAGAAGGCTGAATTTTGATCCCACAAATTAAGTTTTTTTAAAAAAAAACCCAACAACCAAAAAAACCGCCAAAAAAAAAAATCCCCTAACAAGAGGAAAAGACTGTCAAGATGCGTTATATCATTAACCAAAAATGTTAAGTATGTTGGGCTGGAAAGGACTCTCATACCAAATCTAATCAGTTATGTGCTGAGCATGCTGGTGCAAAGGTACTTTCACAACTTAAAAGGAGAAAACATTTTCATGTAAAAATCCCAAGATTCCAGGGTGCAGGAAATAATGTACATTTTTTTTATGAGGGGGAAAAAAATTCTTAATTACATGTGGTAGTTTTTTGCATTTAGGTTCTCATCCCTCCTCAGCATGGCTGCTATTGCTTTTCTCTGGTCCTTTACTTCTAAATATAGCCGGAAGCAAACTTTACTGAAGCTTGAAATATAAGCCATTTCACTGGAAAACATGATCCCTTAGCTTTACCAAATTACCAGAGACTTAAAAAGATATGGTTAAAAATTTGCTTGAAGGCATCCTTTGCCACATATGCCCTCCCCAACTCCTGATTCATTCTAGCAACTTGATGAGAAGGTAAAAGACTAATGTTGCCAGTGGTTCAGTAGACAGACCTCACCTGTTTCCTAGCTTATTAAAGACTTACTTTGTTCCAACAAGGTGGGTGGTAGTTTTATGTTTGCACCAAACAAAGGAGAGAAGGAGGGGAAAATAATTACCTCTTTAAAATAACATCTCTGCCACCACCTTGGCTGATGATCTGTCCATGTGTTCCTTGGTCATCTCAAAACACTTGTGAGCGAGCTGTTGCTGCTTTGCATTCTCGCTCACCATTAATTCTCCATAGAGATACACACCCATAGCCTGCCAAGGAAAATACACAGAACATAACAATTGCTTGAACACTGAGAATATTATGAAATACACACACAACTATCTATATTAATAAATACATGCATATAAATATCTTTTTATGTGTGTGACTAGAGGCCCAAGCTTCTCTTATACAAACTACCCAAATGCAAAAACTGCACCAATTCTAGAGATGAAAAAACACAGGTACATCTGTTCATCTTACAGTCCTATTAAAACCCACTGTTTTTGGTGCTTTTCTCCCCTTCTTTTTTCACCAAGCAGGAAAAAGAAAAAAGAAATGACCAATTAATCAAAGTTGTCTTTCAGTCATTGGAACTTGGGGATTTAATCAACTGTTGAGTTCATTATTTCTAGAGGGATAGCCTTTTTTTTTTTTAAGAGACAGGCAGGAGGCTTAGAGCTTACTACAGTTCAATCCACTCACCCTATGAACACCAGAGAGAGCCCAAGGTCATCTAAGTACTACCAAGAATATACCATATGCTACTTTTGAACAGAAGATCAAGTTCTTACTTTTACTGACGTAGATGAATGCCTCAGTTGAGAGAAACACACATGCACATACTCATGTAATTTAAGTTTCCTTTTTAAAAAAGACGCTCTGTTGGTCTTCATGATTCATAGTGGAGACCAAGATTTCAGACGCATTTCAGCCAGTTCACACATAAGTTAATTCTTCCAAGCTATAACATACTAGAGAAATGACAAATTTCCCATCCAACGCATAATGATGCTAACATGACATCATGTGGCAGCCAGTGCCAGGAAGAATAATCAAGATGCAATTAGGAAAGATGCATTTTGGTTCCTTACAGCCTGATAGCTTTCCATGTAAGCATCCAAAATAGGGCTGCAAACACTGGCTTTTCTGTTTCAACAAACATGCTGAAAACAGTCACATTTGCATTTTTCCCAGACTTTTAAAATAGCCAAGTCAATTATGATCTGGACAAGCTAAGAACCACTTTAATTTCACATGCAATCTTAGTCCACAGCTCATTTATGCCACAGATTGCACCCTGCTGGAGCAAATTAAAAGGATCTAAAAGATAGGAGGATAAAAACTTAGTAGTTATAGTTTCCAAAAATTCTTTCCCTAACAAAAAAAAAGCTTTAAAATGTTCATCTTTATTTGGTTAAAAAATCATTATTCTAAATATACCACAGTTAAACTTATTTTTTAGTATAGACCTTAAGGAGAGAGTTGTTTCTTTCTCTTAGTCTCCTTGTATTCCCAACCACCTCCTTCTTACTCCAGTGGGGCACATGTGACATTTCATAATGGCCAGAAGTTGTATGGTACTCTTTGTGGGGATAATTGGTCTTTGTTTTCTGCTTGCCCCCAAACACTCTGAATGCTATCAAAAGTCTTTTTGTTTCATTCTTTGCTTTTAAAATGGATACATTCTGTCTAACTCCTTAATGGCTGCCATCTCATTCAAAAGCTAAATTCCACCCAAGCCCCAATGCATATCAAGGAAGCAAAAGTTTACATCACTGACAACAACCATGTTAATCATAGCAAAACTAGAAATGGTCATTCGAAATATGGCAGAGCAACCACTTCAAAAGACATGTGCCATAACAGTCACAGAGGGTTCGAGAAGTGGTAGTAATGTCCTAGTGGAAATGAAAAAGAGCATGAACATGTTTATCTAAAGATGAAAGAGAACTACACCTTTTAGATACTTGGGGACATATACACATCTGTAAGCATACATTCCCAGATGGCTGTCTCTATTTACTGAGGCACAACAGACCTAATGGTAAAAGGCTGCTGGTGACCACAAAGTTATCTATTCTGGTGTCTTGTACATAAAGGCTATTAAATAACATTAAAAATAATGATATTAAAGTCACAGACAGCATTCACTTGAAATACTCCTAAAAGTAGATTGAATTGACTGAGTTATGTTTAGTAATAATGGAGGCCAAACAGGAAAAATCCCAATGACCATCATGGGGGTGTGTGTGTGTGTGTGCGCGCACACGCATGCGCACACACATGACACACATATATATTAATAAGTACAGTGAACAGAGAGACAAATATAAATTTGTACAAAAATTCAACAGCTAGATAAAATATTTTAAGTAATGATCTTCATTTTGGGGAACTCTTTTGAAAAGCTTAATAGGTGACATAAAAGAGATATCAAAGTAATCTTACATTCTAGTGTTATATTCTTGAAAGGAAACAAACCTAAACTACTAGTCCTTCCCTCCAAACCTGTCAAATGTAACTTGCCTGATCCTCCAGAAGAAATCTTTCAACATCTTCATACGCTTTAGTGTATTTGTGTTTAATGACAAGTTCACACCAACGATGTCGAACCTAAAAGGACAAGACAGAGAAACTCTTAGGAAGCAAAGTATCTTTTGGTCAAGCAGTTTTCAAGATAAGTGTTTCCAGTACACATATTTTCAAAAGAATTAAAACAAGCATTTGTCACCCAACAAGAAATGAACCAGAGTCCTATTTTTAAAAAATTAGCTAATAAGTGAAAGATATTACGAAACAAACTGGGGTAGGGTAGGTGCACATTTCAGTTCGTTGCTTTAAATGCTTTAAAATATTAATGTAAAACAAAGAAAATCAAAAAGGAAAACAATCATCTCCAAAACAAGTTGCCTACCCTGTTTAATATAGTATGTCACTGATACAATTTTTTTTCCTTCAAGCCAAAAACTGATTTTTTATTTTGTATCACAACATGTGGTTCAATGCTGCTGACTCTAAGACTAAACAGTGTCACAAAGAGTGCCTTACATATTCCCAAGCAAGGGCACATTACAATACTAAATTCTGCATTTTTTTATTTCTAACCAAGGAGAACGCAAACAAAAGGAGAAACATCAGAGTAAAATAGTTCTCTTAATAATGAATACAGTGTGTAATGTACTTAAAAGAGCTAAATTTACATCTTAAAACTTTTTTTCCAAAAAAGGATATTCTTCAAAATTTTGCAAGCATAGGTTAGCCAAAAAAATATACATATATACACAATCTGACAATACAGAAAAGCTTAATTGCTGCAGAGCCTCTGCTTTCCAAGGCTAAAATGAGAAAGTGGGTTTTGAGCATTCAAATCTAAGGCAATCACCTTATAGTGTTGCTGGTTAAACAGCCGGGCTGAGCCGTGCAGGGCCTAACTACCGATTCCTTCTGTTTACATGTTTTGAGCTACCTGAATTTAAAAAGAAGAAAAAAAAAATCTAGTGCTGTGACTTGAAGTGTCATTTCCCACTGCATCAAAGCTTCCTCAATTATAGTCAATGAGCAGTCTAATGTTTTATATTCCATTATTGGTTCAACATCAGCCCTAAAGGGAAGTAGCTAAGTGCATTAAAAACCTACTTACATTACAGCTTGCTTTTACTGCCTCTGAGAGTGGGAGGCACTTTATAATAATCAGCTTTTTGTGGTAAAAGTAAAATGTAAGCAGTTTCAACATTTTTTGGCAGTCCAACCCCAAATTATATTATTATCTACTACCTCAGCAAGATTTTCCTTGAAGGTAAATTTATGGACAAACGATTAAGAATGAAGGAAAGAAAACTCTTTGAAAGTTTCATTTTTCTCTGGGGCTCTTTCCACGGTCCGTATCTTAAACAGGGATGATGATAACCCGGGTCTGCTGCTCTGCATTCTCCTATAAAGGAGAAGAATGCTCTGGATTTTCAGGAAAGGGATGCCATCTTCAGTAGCTTCATTTATACTGATGGAGAAATTTCAGAAGCTCATGTGAATGAACAGACAGTCTCATTATAATCATTTAACAAGGGAAGAATGGTTTGGGGAAGCAAGGAATGTGAGTGAGATCTTTATGTCTTTAACAAATGGTCCCCTTCTACAGAACTAATGGAAAACAGCTAAGGCATACAAAGAGAACAAAGACCCAACTCCTAAAATAAAAGTTTGAGTACAACTTCCACATGAGCAGCCTGGGTAAAAAAGGTACAGCAGTCATGTCTAATTCAAAGGGAGCAAGAACCTCTACCTACCCCACTCAACCCACACACCTTTTGCCTCCTATTCAAAAATCAAGTACCATCTTGCCAAAAAAAAGGGGGGGGGGTGTGCCTTCTCTTGTAGTTTATATATATATGTATGTGTGTGTAAATATGCACATACTGCAGACACAAATCAACCAAATAGAAAAAAACTTAATATTTGTTGATGGATTGATTTGTTACTGTGGCCTACAGCTATCTGAAACAGAGAAGAAAATGATGTAAGTTTTTGAGATCTACTTGGCTTTAACTTGAAAAGAATGAGGACTTTTTGTTTTCTCCCACTGAATTTTTCTTATTACTGCCACGAAGGTTTTGACCCTCGTCTTCTCCCCTTCCTCCTCGGGAATGGCAAGTTCTAAGGCAAACAAAATAGAAGGTGCGACAACCTTGCTGGTAGTGACATAGCAGGTCTCTGACTCTTAGACTGTCCTTCAATTTTATTTCACTTAGGGAAAGTGCTAGAAGGATATGGAAAAGCTTTGGGAGGTTTTCCGCAGCAAGTGAAATCACTCTCCCTTCTCAGACAAATAAAATGATTTCTATTTGTTGTTAATAAGAAGTATACCTTATTATGAATTCTGTGCAGTATCTGGAGACAATACACCCTACCCCACCTTAGTTCCCAACGTTACAACAGGAAAGGCAAGAACAAGATCCCTACATAGAGCTAAAAGTGTTACTAGGGACAGGACGTTTAAAAATAAGTCACAAGGATGCGGTATGGACAACTGAGTGCCTACCAGATATTTCCTGTTTGGATACTCAGTATTTTACTTTCACAAATATCTGAGATAAAAGCTTGGGAAAAATGAGGCAAAACCTGAATTGGTCATTCCCCACCACTCCAAACGAGCAGTATGCACCACTATAAATCAGTTAATGATATTCAAAAGTATTAAGAATGAAATTCTCTGCAAATCATACCCGTTTTCCCCAATTTCGTTGATAAAATTAGAGATATTTTCCTCTCTTAAAAAAAAATATCCATCATATCTTAAAAAGGAATAGTGTGTGGAGGGAAGGGAACAAGCATTTATTAAATGCCTACTATGTACCAAGCACTCTAACAAGTGCTTTGTAAATATTACCTCATTTGAGGTAATGTTTGGCACAGTGTCTTCAGCAGAGAGGGAGAAAATCTGAAGAAAGAACAACAGCGGTGGTGGCGGTGATGGTGGTGGTGGTGGCGGCAGCAGCAGCCAACCAATGATACAGTGAAAGATCTAGACCCACAGATCCTGCTTCCGAACTCCTCTATTCCTATTTTTCCACTTCCTCATGCATCTGGGAGGGCTTTGACTGACTTCCTTTGTGATTAATTCAGAAACACAAAATCCCTTTTAGAGCCAAGTTAACATAACTCAACTTCTTTTCTCAATTTACAAAGTCAGTAAAAAGTTCAAAATTGAGCTGACCCAGAAGAGAGGATACCTGTCTGTTCATTTACACCCACCCCCCGGGTGTACCTTTTTTCTGTGTTTGTTCTTAGGTTTTTATTTGTTTGTTTGTTTTTTTAATTTTCCCAGGGAGAGCATAAGCTCCCTTTAGGACAGGGATTCTGTTGCCTATTTCTTTAACAGTGAGTAACACAGAAGAGAATGCCCTTCACAGAGCAGTCAGTTATTAAACCAAATGATCCCCCACTGTTCCTCTTGTGGATTTTTCAGATCTAAAGAGAGCTGGTGACCCACGAGGCAGATAATGTAACGAAAAATTCCTTTACATGAAGACAACCCAACTCCCCCTCCCCATTCTAAATGGTCTTCAGCAATCTAGCTTTACTCCTCTCATCCTTGGGGAGGGAGGGACCCTGAAAGCCAAACCTAACCACAGACAGTAATTAAGAGAAAAGTTTCATTCTTTGCCGCTGGCAAAGGAGCTGATTGCATCATGGGCTTCAGTTCTACCCATAAGATTCAGTGACTCCCAAAATATAGCCAGGGGCAGACAGACCTTCCGTTATTCGCATATCCTGCCTGTGACAGAAAACTACATGACAAGGAGCAGAAGAGAAGTGATTTTTAAAAATAAAACTGCATGTTTGTATTTATTTGTCCTTTGAGTTAGATCTATCCACTCACTCTCAGTTATCTGGAAGGACAATGAAAAGCTGGAACCTATTTGGAGAACCAGCAGTTACTATTGTAGACTTCTGCGATAGATGCTCCCCAGCTTGGGGGGAACCCTCCCCCCAAACCACATTGGCTTCTTCCAAACATCATTCTCACCTCCTCACAAGAGAGTTCTCCTCCCTAGCCTAACTACATTAGAACCTTGTTGATTATGAAATCTTGATAAATGCACTGCTGTGACTTAAGAGTCACTTTTTAAAAAAATCTACTTCCAAAATTTCTGAAGTTATCTAAAAAGTTTATACTTGAAATGATCTAACAGGACAGCAGGCATAAAAATGAGGTAAGGGAAGAAAGGAAGAATAAGAGAGGATTTGAGAAAATAAAACAATGGAGGGCAAGTGACAGAAATAAGAGAATAAGGGGAAAAAATGGACATACAGCTGAGAATTGGTGAAGTCTCTGAAGTGTCCAGACTTCCCACTCCTCTAACTGACCCTTCCTATCAAAGAATAAGCTAAAAGAGCAATAATGATGAGGATACCTCACGTTTAAAGAATATTTTTTATATTCTGCCCATTCATATTTATTTTCTCCTTCAATTTGCACATGCCTAGGAAGTTAAGTGCAGGTATTATCTCAGTGTTAGAGAAATGGAAGTCAAGCACCTCACAGGTAAACTGACTGACCAACTTTCCTGTACTAATTTGTAAGAGGAAGGAGAGAGGGCCACTAGAACCTCTCTTGATTCTTAGTAGAGTGTGTTTTCCTCTACAACACAAGAACTGCCTTACATTTAAAATAATATAGCCCAAGATTAAGATATTATTTTAAATCAGCCTAACTACTTCTGGTAATACTTAAAACATATTTTGTTCTTCAGGAATGGTATGGGGCCAATTTGTTCTGTGAAGTCTGGATTCAGTCAAAACGCTGCACTTGAGGGCCTAGAGGGACACACACCCCCACCCCCACACCCACACCCACACACACCCACACCCACACACACACCCACCCACACACCCACACACCCACTCTGGACTTACTACTTAAATTCAAAAAAAAATCAAGGCCTCCTATTTTCTTATGTATTTATTATAACTGTTAGCAGAACTAGTTTGTTTCTAAGCCAAATCTTGGAGTAAAACACTGAAGTTCAGTCTTGAATGATGGGTGGGATCAAACCCTCTGTGTACTTACTGTTCAGTCCAAGAAAAATAAATTTGCTTTTCAAAGCTCTCTATTC